ATTGTAAGATTTAATGTATCATTGATCCAGACAAGTTGACTATGAGCTTGCTTGCATTTACAGCAGCTGCAGTAACACATGGGTCGAGTCAGGTCAAGATGAGTCAAGTTCATCGCCCATTGCACAAGCCCAGCATCACATACAATGTCTCAGTGGGCTTTAAAGAAATGCACAGCATGTTCCCGACACAACAAAGACAAACTTCCCAACAAAAAAAAAACTCAAGGACAAAAATGGAAGAGACCTTGTGAGACGCGGCATTAGTTTTAGTTTCAGCTCCAGATCGATGCACAGTTGCAGGAGAAAATGGGAAAATGTTCAGTCACTCATCATCATTCCTCTGGATTCATCATTCACGGCCTCACTGGTGTCTGGAACATAAGATTAATATGACAAGAAGAGACATGTTATTGATGGGACAAGGCGATTCATGTTGAAGATAAAAAAAAAACATTGTCTGTTGGGGATATTTCACTGTGACATTTTGTGATGTTACAGGATGAAAGATCAGGGAAACAGGTGTTTTTGTAACATAAATTTGTTCTTCCATTCGACTACGAGCAGATAAAAAAATGCAGGCGCCACACAACCAGGAGCCACAGATATTTTCTGTTACACTTATTGAATTTATTTTTGTTTGTAGACAACCTGATGATAGGCTTTTTGCTATGATGCTGCTGCTGCTGCTGCCTGAAAGATAAAATGATAAAAAAAAGGTGAAAGAAAATCACTATCACCCACTCTTCTGTATTCCTGGTGCAGAACTGATACATTGATTGTAGTGACTGTTGTCACCATTATGTAATACCTTGCATCCTTCAGGCTTTCTGACAAATAAACATGCATGCAATGGAGCCATCATTAGCACGGTTCAATTAGCCCTCTCACGTTGAATGGATTTATTATGTGAACATGCAGCTTGAGGGCTCTGCAGCCACCAGGGATTTAGGTTATTTTTATTTTTTACTTTTCTTTACATTCACTCTCTGAACATCATTATACTGTAGAGAATGTTTGTAACGACTGCTGCACATTGAAACATTACAAGGTTATTTTAAAAACCGCTAACTAAAACAGTTACGTGGTTTCCTATCTTAGAGTAAACAGCAGCAGGCAAGTGGTCAGACCTAATTTATGCATTTCTAATTAATATTTAAGCAAATTTGTAGTCAAAAAGCTTAGTTTGGTTTGTTCAAGATGAGAACATCAGTGTGTTTCCAACATGGTTGTATTGTCAGGAATGACTGATTGGGTTCGATGATGTGGCCGTCTCTATTACAGTAACATCAAAGCAGCAGTCTCAAACCGAGACGGGTCAAAAACACACCTAGCATCACAAACCAGAACTACTGACCGGTTACTTTCATCGGTGGAACCAGTAGTGAAATAGATAGAAAATACATTGTATTGTGTAACTGCGCCGTTGAATGACACATTAAAGCATTTTCTGGTCTGATCAGGTTGAGACGAATAAACTTATAAAGATATTTACAAATGAAACTGTCCTCACCAGAAAAACTGTTAGTTCAAACATTTCCAGTACCTTACATTTACGCATCCCAGTATCCAGAGGAGTTGTGTTGATTTTAATCTCAAATACACAACTTATTGTCAATGGTCACAACTTCTCTTATTAACCTTTACCAAGTTTTAGCTTTATAACCCTAACCCTTAAAGTGATAGTTCCGCTTATGTGACACAGGAATGTGTGAGGTACTTATCTATAGTTAGTGTATTACCTGCAGTAGATTCAGATCAGCACACTCCCAGTTTGGACAGGCAGCAAGAGCACAAAAAAGTTTTTTAGTCACTTTAAAAAAAAAATGCCCACCCGAAAAAGCTAATATCAGTTGAGGTGGATCTTTAACTTTCCTTTGACACTACAGTTTGTGAACTGTATTCCTACACATGAGCAAACATACGCTGCACACTGTAATACACTGGCTCTGTATAACACACGTCACACAACCCCACATCAAATAACCCCAGCTATTCCTTTAGTTGTACTGGTGCCATGCGCAGATATTATGAAAAAGAGATTTTAAAAATGTCTTTGAATGTTTTCACAGAATCATCCAATATTAATGTTCTTTTCTAGCAGCAAGGTTGTGTTTATGTTTTCATTATATTCAACCTCCCGTGGCCATGTGGATAATGACAACTGTCGTTAGAAGCAGCATTAGCTAAAAAGCGGCTGCCTAAACTGAACCCAACTTAAACCAAAGGGGTGGCAGATCATTGAAAGCCACTGAATAACAAGGCTGACCCGCCAAAAGGGTCGCCAAGATCATAAAACGCTCCAGTGGGTCACTTTGGAAAGTGATGTTTTGTTTGTTTTGTTGTTTAGTTTGGAAGACTCAGTGTTCCAAAAGAGACTGCGGACACGACAAAAATCTGATTTGCAGAAAAATATGCAAACCCCCCCCCCCGTCTATCGTTTCTGCTCCTTCCTTTATGTCCGTGTCTCTCTCTCGTAAACACACACTCGATCCTGATCTCAGTCTTTGATTTGATCACAGCAGGAGGCAGATTCTTTGTAGCAATGTAAACAAGCTATTTGTGTTTATTTTTGATCACCCATTTCAGATTTTTTTTTTCCCCGCCACGTCTTCTTAATGACACAATGACTCGATCGTCCCATGCATCTCTGTTTCTATCACAACTTCGCTCTGCACCATTTCACACACGCATACTCGTAGATGCAGGAATTTGTCATCACATGATACTGTTGATATTAATGATTCTGAATAGGAAGGAAATACTCAAAGAGACACACTAGACCGTCCACACAAAACTGTCATGGTGCAGAAACAGGTTGAGTAGGGAGGTGGGGGGAAGCTGGCAAATGGGGGCTAAATAGAGATGCATATATAGATTCTCTGAGACAAGAGGGAGGAGAAACAGGAGGTTACAATGTAAAACGAGAGTGAGACGAGTCCTGTGGGAATGAAAGAAGAATAAACCTGATAAAAGGTGAAAGAAGGTGTTGAAAATGAGTGGAGGCTGCAGGGAATCAGGATGAGAAGGATAAGGAAGACTGCGTGAGAGGATTGACTGTCTAGTGATGAGTATATTAGTATGAGATCTGTGTCACAATAACTCAGTATTGGTTAATTACTTTCAGCAAAAGCATGTTGTGATGATATGAACTTATGCCTTTGTTTTATGTGTTATGTCCACATTACTGCAGGATCCCCATGTTATCACTGCCACATGTTAGCAGCAGGTTAGCACATGCAACTGAAAAGTCGCTCCTTACCACATTACATTTCACCAGGAGATTCCAGTGAACAAAATGCAACCACATTTTAGTCCAACAGACATGTTGTTGTGGAGAAAAAGTCCAAAAACCTGAGTTTCGTTCATAATTGCTTGACTGATTGAGACCAGAGTTATGAGTGTGATTAAAAGGGTTGAAGAACAGGAACCTTTTTCTTTTGGGTACATTATTTTTGAGCTTGAGCAGAAAAATGGGGATGTCTGGAAACAGGTTAAAGCTGCTGACTGTAATAATTTAAAAGTTTAATTTGCCATTTTGGAAACTACACTTATTTGCTCTCTTGCCGAGAGTTATATGAAAAGATGGAACGCATGCTAGAATCTCTGTAGTAGTTATTGAACATTATTATCAGTTGAATGCTGTGGTTTTATCTCCATGAGACATCAAAGTGTCATTTTATCTTATCCTCTGTTAGCTGCATTAGACATGCATTTTGTTATTTTATTTATTTACTTTTATCTAAAGCGACTCACAAGTGAGGGACATCACTAAAGCTTCAGTGCAGTAGCAGACCTTGAAGTAAAAACTAAATCTGTTCAATGAGGCGAAGCACAAGGAGGTCTTTTGACCTTGTCTCATTATCAGCGCACACAGTCCCAGAGATAATGGTCCAAAGCGTCCTTTTTAACAACTAAAGCGCTCTTCTGCTCACAGACACAACTAGAAAATATCCCAAAATAATTCACTGTAAATACTTCTGTTCAGTGTGTGTGTGTGTGTGTGTGTGTGTGTGGTTTTGGGGATCTTGTAAGGTAATGAAATAGCTAACAGTGTGATAGCAGATGGCGTTTCAGTGTTATGTCCAACAGATGGGGAAACATCTTAGTTTGCAGTGACCCAAAAAGAGACATCAACCTTTACGGTCACTTTCATTCCTAAGTACTTTTTTGTGCTCATAGTGGGCTTCACTCACTGGCTGTGTACTGCACACATGCGCACATGCGCACATGCACACACACACATGGACGGACACACACACACACACACACACACACACACACTTACGCAAGATGATAATGGAACTAAAAATGGGGCAAGTCAAATGGATTAAGCTAATGTATAACAGCCCCAAAGCTGCAGTTATGACAAATGGAGTCAACTCTTCATTTTTCAGTCTTTCCAGAGGAACCCGACTCTTATTTACAATAGCCTTGGAACCTTTGGCAGTAGCAATAAGAGCCAACCCTGCCATTAAAGGGGTGGATGGTGGTGGGTGTGAATATAAGTTAATGCTTTATAATTAGAAGCTTTAATGTGAGACAATACTAAGCTATGACCAAATTAACTGGTGTATTTATTTTCACACTACACACTATATATAAGCACTTATTTGGTATACTTACTTACTGATTCCCCTGTGTTCAGGAAAACTTGTGTCTTTACTTATTTGCCAGTACACTGTCTGATCTGATTTATTTATTGATTTAATCATTGATTGATTTATTTTTCTCCATCTTATACTTCGTTAGCTGTTTTGTACCATGTTCTGTGCCATGTTTGAAATAACAAAAACTTTAACTATAAAATAAAAAAAGGTGCACGTCCTCAGGTTTTCATATCCTGCCCTACTGTTTACCAATTTTAAAATGATTAGAAAAACCTACTCACCGACACTGACTCTGCTCTTTGCTCTCCTCTCTCTCCCCCTTTTCTCTTTCTTCTCTTCTTGTCCTCTCTTGCCCCTCATTCACTTTCTCTTTCCTCCCCCTTGTCTCTGCAGCGTCTCAGTGTGTGTCGGCGCTGGGATGCGGACCCCACTACGAATACGCAATCGAGGAGTTCTGCCTGGCCAAATTCAAACTGGACATGCAAGAGCTCGATCAGAAACACTGGTGTAGCTGGGAGGACACAGTCGAGTGAGTAGGATACACACACACACACACACACACACACACACACACACACACACACACACACACACACACACACACACACACACACACACACACACACACAAAGGGGGAGAGAGAGGCATCCAAACACAAATGCCAACAGATTTACATTCACATGTATTAGCTCCAATTGCAATCCCATCCTCTTTGTTAGTTTTAATGCGATAAGAACATTAAATGCCTAAAATGGGATTGTAATATGTTCCCTAAAAGCCTCAAATGACCAGTTTAGATTTGTTTGTTTCTATCTGGAGGTCTATATAATGTCTTCCAACAGCTGACTGTGATGAGTGAGAGACAACAGAGAAAGAGAGAGAGAGGGAGAAAATATAGAGGGGTGAGAGGGAAACAAAGACCCGGTATCAAGAACAAAAGCTGCACTTTTGCATAAACAGAGATCTCTTGTTCATGCGCAAATATTATCTTTGCACTCACTGAAAAAGACATCTGGCAACACAGGTTTTCACAATCGGCGGTACAACTTGAGTTAGCTACTGGCATCAATTAGCACAATTGAATAATTACATAAAATCATCTACCCCCTACTTGACTGAAAACAATAAAACCCTCATTCTGAAATGTGTGGTTATCATTTACCAGCTAGAGCTCATAACTCTCCTCACCAGTAATAGCTACCTTGGAGAGGAATCTCAACCTTTGCAGGTTGTTCCAGTCTCATGAGCAGCATTGTCTCTGCGCTCCTGAGAAGCACCAACTGCTGCTTTTGAAACTTTCACACAGCTTCGGCTCTGAGCCATGGACAGATTATGAGATAACGGACATCTGGGTACAGACTTGTAAAAGGCCCCTCCATCCCTCCAGCATAAGAGCAAGAGCCACTGACACAAGAGACATCTCTTTGTGGTTGTGTTGTCTCTCATAGTTGTTGTGTTGTGTTTCTTTGTGGTGGTTCCATGTGTCTTTGAAGCTATTTTTTCAGTCAATTGATTTCCCAAGAAGAAATGTACCAATTACTTAAAACTGATGCTCTGGCCCTGACCCTGCCGGCCCCTGGGCCTGTGCCCGTTAAGCCCCTGTAGTATTCCATCCATGGCCTGAGCCAACTACGTCATTCCAGGTTTGGAAAAGCCTAATTTGGGTAAAGGAGCATAGTTTCTTGACTTGTGTAAGGCCTTTGATTGTCAGTCAGCCTGTACTTTGAACTAAGTAGTCTTAATATAAATAGTATTATTACTCTCAAGGGGATAAAATTATACTGCACAGACTGTGCTGGTGTTTGGATAAATAATGACCTCATCAGCAGAAGCCTGAGATGGCCTTTTCAGGCCTCTGTTTTTCAATGTGTACATCTTCCATCTACCTGGAGATCTTTACATATGCAGATGACATGTTAGTTTATGCTCATGTGTCAGACACTGTCAGGAAACGTTTGGTTACAGCAGTAAGTATGAAATAAAACCGGCCTATAATCTAAATTCTACATTAAGTTAAGAAAGAAAATCTAATACAGGTATTACTTTAGTGCTCTACAGGAACAAGCTTTCCCAGATCTCAGCAATTAACTTGATGAATGGACTGTTACCAGTTATCAAGAGAAATGATGCCCCAACCTCATTCTTTAAGATTCAGGCTCTAAAAGCTGGATAGAAAAGCAGGGCAATGTTGCCACTGTTATATACTTGAAGTTTGACAGCTTCATTTTTTATCAGATTTCTCTCTGGTGTTTAAAATAACTCACAAGCTGCTTCTCCACTGTTCAAGAGCTTTGTTCAGCTCTGCTCTGAGCAAATGTACCAAGCTTAAAGGTCAAGTTCTGCCTTTTCTTTCCAGACCATTAAATAATTGAAAGCTCCTCCTGATAAACTGAGAACTCAAAAAATAGATTTAAATTTGATTTTATAAATACCTGTATGTTTAGGTTTACATTTGTAGATGTCTTTATGAAACATTATAACTTGAACATGGGAGTAACTTCACTTCTATATTACATTATATTCTGTATGGATTGTATTGTATTGTTTTATTGTGTCTATCTCTCCAGGGACTGCAGAAGTAAAGCACTGCAGCTGGTGGCTAAATTGCTTTAAAGCTCCTCCTCATATTGTTGCTTTAGGTTAAAGCTGGTAGAACATGGTTCCTGACAGTAAATGTAATTCAAAAGATATTGTTGTCTGATTTCTAATTTGCTTCTGCAGAGTGTTTCTCAAACCACAGACTTTGGTCTATAGTAACTGGACAGCAATTGTGCAAAGAGCATTATAACTATTTTCAAATGTTTGTGTCAAACCTCGCCACAGACGACTGAAAAAGCAGGAAAAGAAAAAAAAAAGAAAAGACTAGTGAATGAAAGATTGAAATGTCAAAAATGGTTCAGCTGAGGAGAAAAGGTCAAATATCAGGACAGTTGCTCCCCCTTTGAGGAAAAGCTGCATTCTGGCCAAGCTGCCACTGGGGATATCTAATTTAGCTGAAAGGACATTTGGTGTCTGTGTACGTGTCTCTATGTGTGTGTGTGTGTGTGTGTTTCAGGAGAGTTGTGCACAGTGCCTTCCTACCTCTCAGTATATCTGTCACCACGAGGTTATAGTTTCCTCGGCTCTCTGGTCTCTCCTCTATCCTCAGCTGTCACTCACCACTGTCACATCAGCCTGAGTTTATATGCCGCTCCCATCTCATGAAGCACTCAACACTGTGCCGAGCAGCAGCTCAACTGTTCTTCACTGTGTCTTGGTTCTAATTTCTCCCTCTACGCATGAAATCTCTCTAACTGAATAGAAACAGCACAAATCTTAAGTAGATTGATGAATTATGCCCCTGTGATCGCATTCCTCATCATTTTTAATGCGCGCTTACATTTTTCATGAACGTATGGTTCCCAAAGTACACGCTCCTCCTACTGTATGTGCTGCTGTAAAGCCCTGTCAATTACACTGAACTGTCGCTTATTGTCACTGCAGTATATACATTATTAAATGCTTATGTGTATTTCCCTCAGATACCAGAATACACTGTACCTACTCCCATTATACTTTCACAGAGGAAAAGGCTTGAAGTGACTGTGCACGACTGCCTTTATTCTGCATGAAAACATTTTTGAATTAAATACAGTTCTTCAAAAAAGGGGACAACTGTCCTGTCTGAAACTGTGCCACCGTGTGCCTCATCTTTCGTTCCCTCACTTCCTCTTAAATCCCCCTCTGCTGTATACTTTCATGGTTTTTTATTTGCTTTAGTTCATCTCCTATTCTTGTATTATATACCCTAATGTCTCTCAGGTACTCATGTTAAGATATCGCATGTTTATTTAGTGATATGTCTAATGCATCTGTACTCGCCAAACCCCACAAGCAGTTATCGTTAAGGCATGCTGTCAATATGTTGTAGTGTCCATATCAAATGCCAACATGCAACCAGAAAGGTACAGCAGCATGCCTCATGCCAGCTTTACACCAAACGACTTTTCAAGTGATTTTACTGTCACAGACTCATTTTCGATGCCGGGATAAAATCATGAGAGTTTGGCCAGAGTTATGGCACGCTCCCATTATCACGTCTCGTTTGGTGGAAGGTGATTGTCTGAGCTGTCTTAACTCAGTCTTTTATTGGTCTTGACGTTACAATAAAATCAAACATGTTTAATAATAGCTTTTAGTCTTGGCTCATGCAGATAGTGACGTTCAGTGACATGAACGCTGTCAACGTCTCCAGCACCGAACAGGAAGCAGCAAACCCATTTGATAGTGAGCATGGAGGCGAGACTGTGAGAAATACATAAGGACGGCATGGGTAATTGGACACAAGGAAAATTATTTCAAAATAAAAGAGGAAATCATAAATACAAAGGCTTAACAGGGGCTAACCATGACAATTATTGTGTTGGGTTACAAAGTTTATATAAAATGATAATGATTTAAAATTTCAAAGAGCAAAAAAGTCTGAAAAAGGTCTTTTCAAACTCTTCTAGTGTGTGGTAGGCAGTAGACAGGCAACCACACTGTGACTCACCACTCAGTACAGGGCCTTCTCACTCCCATTCACAGCTGATGGGTAATCAGACAGAATGACACAATCTGAAAATGAATATTAGTCCCGCTGACTTGCAGGTGACAGAGCTAATCAGTGAGTCACTGTAAAGTTCATCAACAGAGAATCACTTCAGTGACATCTCTGTAGTTTAACAACACATTTTCTATGACAGCTACTTTTGAGAAAAGCCTGCCTTACTTGAATAAGCCTTTTTTTTTGTCACAGAAGACATTTTGAATTGTCATAATAAGACAGGTACAAGTGATACTAAAACATTAACAATGGCTCTGCTCTTTTCAAGAGTCCCAGTAAGTCATCACAGTGTGACAGTGAGCCAGCATGCACAGTACCAGGACCCTGAAACTGGAGCAGCTAAATGGAATTCAGACATCATTCATCTTATTATTTATAGCTCCGGCCCGTGGCATACGCAGTGTAGGCGAATGCTAGGGGCGCTGTCATCCATAGGTGGCACCGCAAATGAGGGAAGAAAAAAAAAAATCTAAATGTTTAACTTTTACTATTTACTTATACTATTTACAACTATTATTTTGAAATATTACATAAGCCCACACAACAACATGACTACATACCAAAGCCTATTAAATAATGGAGAGGCTCGTTACACTTTACCTGCTCTGTGGGAAGGGGATGGGCAATAATCTGACATGACCCCAGATAAGACGTTGTATCTTTCATCATGTCCAAGATGACCAAAGCTCTCTGGCGCCCAGGGTAGAAAAAGAAGAAAGGGAGAGGAGGAAAAACAGGGAAAAGACAGAGGTACAGTAACGTGATGAAATTAAGATAGTCTGTTGCATTGGTAGTTACCTGTTGTTGGAGCAGAGTGTTAACTTGTTGGCTTACTTCTGGACAAGAGTAACGTGGTTTGCTAATCAATAAATAGCTAGAGTTGACGTCACCTCCCACTCCCACCTTAAATTCGTCAGGGAAATTTGGAAATATTAATGTTATGC